ACTGACATTAAAAAAGGGAAAAAAACTATGACTAGTTAAAAAAATAGATTGGAGAAGTTTTATTCCATTGACATCTGTCCTGCTACATCTTTGCTTATGACAGAGGAGAGCAATCTCAATGATGTAGATGTTGCCTTCTGGTTCCATTCCTTTTCTTAACAGACAAAAGATAGGGGAATTGCTGTTTTGTGAGAAACGGGGAAATTTTGAAATTTTCAGTACACATTCAAAAATGTCCAAACATTTTTTGCTGTTGCTATTATTTCAGAAATTAAATCTAAAATTTTCATTTTGATAAGTATTTCCTGATCCAAAACAACCACATTTCATGCCAAAGTATGCAACATATTTCAAATAAAAGTATCAAAATGTAACATTTTCCCTCTTTTAAAGCTGAAAAGGAAGGCTGATAGTGGCCAGGTTTGTCTGAGTATGCAATGGCACTACTCAGGACAAGGAAGATAGAGGCACACTACGTTCATAAAAACACAGAGAAGGTAAACGGTAAAAGAAAACAGAAAAGTTGAAGTGGTAAGAGTAAAGACAACTCTTTAGTAGTAGGGTAGGTAGAAATGGCAATCTGCCACAAGAAGGGCTTCTCTATGGAGACAAGAAAACAGGTCCATGCTCCAGCTGGTAGCTGGAGGTGGAACCCCAGAGATGTTCGGGCCACCACTAGTCCCCAAGCTCTTCTCCATCTCAGAGCTACAGTGACATCACAGCGTCAGCCCTAGGATGAGGCACCTTTCTTCTGGACAAGTCAGTGTTCTCCACACCACAGACATATGTCACAGCTGAGACATTCACGATACACAGAGCATCACCATGCAATGTCAGAAGGCTTTTAGCATCTGCCCACACAGACTAACATCATATCACTTCAGAGGGCTACAAGTGCCTGCCCTTCCTGTTCTTTAGCCCAACCTTTTACACTTTCACCTTACATGCATTGTACCATTGTGCCTTCTGTTCCCTTTGGTGACTGGTCAGTGCAGCTCAGCACTCCATGGCTCATTGCTGTCAATGCTGTTCACCTGCTTCTCACAGCTGCAGCCCACTGGGGATGAGGCTGGCTGCTGCCTCACTCCCAAATACCACAAACTGTGTGCCTACATACCTACAAAGCCCCAGCTTTAGCCACAAAGTTTTATCTGTTAGTTCAGGTGGGCACTGCTCTTTCTCCTCCTGCGCTGCCACAGCAGGACTCAGGACTCCTACCCAGTCCCGTTCCCTGCCCCATGGCTCCCCATGTGTGATGCCAATGAACACCATCTCCATCACCAAGTCACCGCTCTCACTCTACCAAAGTGAGTAGCTTTGTGCTTTCCAAAGTAAAAAGAGAACACATTTTCATTCATAACTTTTACTCCTTCCCAGGGAATGTGAGGAGCCTTATTTGCTCCAAAGAACCCCCAGGCTATGCCTGTATAAGCTCCAGCTCCAGATCAAGCTGGCAAGTCAGGAGATATAGAACAGACAATAGGCAGACCTTTGAGTCTACAAATTGAAGGTTGAATGATTGGCAAACAACCTCTCCTCATGAAAAATTATGCTACAGCAACACAATAGTAATGGGAGCCAAAAGTATGTCTATTCCTGATTTGTAAACCAGGTTTTAGTTATGCTATAATCCTCTCAGTATGCCTGCTTAGGATCCCACAATTACACAAGTCATGAACACTACCCACAAATCCTGCAGCTTCCATGCCGAGCAAGTGACACACCAGATGAAGAAGGATGGAAAATATACATGTGGAATTGTTCTGGGAACTTAAAGCACATATAACAGTAAACAAAGCAAATATGGTACAAAACCTGTTGCTATTTTCACAGCATTTGTGGAGCTAAGCTGCATAAATGCAGAAGGATGCATACTGCCTCACACCTTTCCTCAGATTCCAGCAAATTAAGCACAGCAGCACAAACAGCAGCAGGGAGAAGGAAACGCCTGCAGAAGAGCTTCCCGTTTGCTGCTGCACTACAGGTACATATTTGGGTATGTGAGAGAGAGATGAGCAAGAAGTGTTAAAATTACTTTTCCTCACGGTTTCTTCTACAGCCTTGGCTGCTCATGGAGATTTGAACAGGGAGAGATGCCTAGGTGCCATCCTCCCTCCTCCAGGTACAGCTAAAGTCAGTTTGAAAAGGTTGCTATGGTTGTCCCTGTCCTCTTGGGGCTAGGCTTCATGAAGCCCTTGCCACTTTGGTCTGAAATAACTAGAAGACTGTCTCTGCTCCCCACTGAGAAGGCAGTGCCACTGTCAGATACTGGAGCACTAGCTTAAGTGGCACTACAGACAAATTTTGGCTGGTGTCAGGAGAGATGGCTGAAAGCCAGCTGACAGGGAAGAACAGTATCAATCTCTGTGCTGGGGGAATCCTCTGAAAATGCTACTGAAGCAAACAGCAACTGCTAGTGGCACAGAGGCAAACAAAACATGAGTGATCCTGTTCTCATGGAGAAGAGAAAAAGGCAAACGGCTGAACTGAAGTAATCAACATGAACTTGAACCATGGCACAGGGCAAACATGTGGCACGCCGTATGGAAACTCAGAACAAAACAGAAAGCTTGGAACAAAATGAAATTAAAAATCTGCTTCTATTTCAAATTACTCCACTAAACATCTAACTGAAAATTGTGTTGGAAGTTGATATGACTTTGTGACATGTTGTTCCTTGAAGGCTGCCATTTTCCATCCAAAAAAAGGTATGAAAAACGTTTCAATCTGGTTACCTTCTATCCAGCAAGGCTAGAAAACATTAAGTTGTAAGCTAAAAAATAACATCACACCATTAGTCAGCACAAAATAGCTGTTCAGCCAGCATCTATCATAATGTTTTCAACAATTCATAGATACCAAATGCCTGGAAAAGAAGGCCAGTAATCACTCCAAGCATGGATTTTGAGCTTTAAATGTATTTGATGAATTAATTTTTTAAAGATAGGCCCTGTGCAGCCTCACTTTGCTTACTGTTTCTAGATATAATCTACCTTAGAAAAGGTGACCAAATGTCCATCTCCAAAACAATTGAGCCTGGGTGCTCTGTGTTCTGAGGGATCATCTGTTGAACAGCTTAACACTAAAACATCCCTGCAAAAGTATATAAGTGTCAAATCCAAGTCATACAGAATGACTGCATTTAAAACAAAATCTTTCTGTGTAATTTCTAATAAGTATTTGAATGAAATCAGGCCAAGGAGAATCAGGAAGATGTAAAATGAAGAATCTAGAGCATCTCTTCTGTGAGGAAAGACTGAGAGATCAGAGAGTACTTACCTAGGAGAAAAGAGTAGGTTCAAAGAGGATTTCATCAGTGTATAGAAATACTTGAAGAGAGGGTGCAAAGAGGACAGAGTCAGGCTCCTCTCAGTGGTGCTCTGTCACAGGACTAGCAATGGGCACACACAGAAACACATAAGAAAAAACCTTCTACTTTGAGGACAGTCAAATACAGGAAGAGAGGTTGTGGAATTCCTATACTTGGAGATATTTAAAAAACATCTGAACACTGATATGGGCAACCAGCTCTAGGTGGCCCTGCTTAAGCAGGGCAGATGGATGAGATGGCCTCCACTGGTCTGTCAACCTCAACCATCCTGTGACTAATGGATGAATTATCACCAGTTATGCAAAACTACATAAGAACAAAAAAATCAAGCAGTAATGACAAAAAAACCCCACTAAAACCCAACAAACAACAGCACTTTTATATTCATTAGGGCAATATTGGATTGTATTTGTCAATAATACACCTATTTGTCCTATAATACACCTAATGGCGTAATGAGACTAGAGGGCTCACTCCACCAAGCTCAGCTACCAGGCCAAAAGATAGCCCAAAATGGTTACACATAAAACTCAAACACACCAGCAAAACTTGAGTTTTAAATCATATCCACACATTTTCAAACTCACCCTCTTACATCAATTAAGTTCAGAGAACTGATTTCCATTGGTAAACGCTATAGTGGTATCAGTGAATGACCAGAGTAGGAACTGAAACAACCATTATCAGAGCAAAAGGCAGAGCACAGTCTATTCATGCTCTCTGTTCTCTAAGGAGTATTACAATCACAGAAACACCTCCTAAGTTATGTAGTTTATTTGCCTGCCAGCATGAGATTCTTCCCTACAATAATTTTTAACACTTGTTTTCACCAACTTAAGAGCAATGTGTCTAAAGAAAATGAGTTTACTATGAATGCACCCCCCTAACCCTAGCTCTTTCACTTTGAGAATGTACGTTGTAAACAACCTTTTTTCCCCCAGACACTTGTTTTCTGCATATTTAAACAGATATGTGGGCTTAGCAACTGTAAAACAAAGTCATTTACTTAAATAACTGTGTACAGATTAAAGTATTTCATTTTATATATAAACTTTCAAAATACTGTGACTCTTTTACAGAGACAGAATCCTCATATATGGATTTCAAAAATAACTCACCTTTGCATTTAAGCAAAGAAAGCGGGATTTGCATTTGCAATGTATCTACATGAAGGTACATGTGTGCATGTACATATTTTGTGTACATTTACCTAAATAAGTATTAGTCAAGGATAGAAAAAGTCCTAAGGAAAAAAATTACCATGTTTAATACATCCATTAGTGTGAGAATAAATGCAGTGATACAATGCAAAGGTCTGTAACATCCAGTGTATCAAAAATTGTTATGAATGAGGAAAGTATCTAGTTAGAAATGCCCATATATGAAATTAAAGACAAACAGGAGAATCAGGAAAGTTCCAACAGGTCAGAAATATTGTGAAGCCACTTTGCTGCAGTATTTCACTAGTGTTTCCAAACACACAGCATATACTTTATCTGAAGTCACTCAAAATACTGTCTTCAGAAAGCTAAATGACTTACTCAACAGCATTTATAAAATGAAGTTTTTAAAGGGGAATGCTACGTTTTGTTACTAGTGGGCCTTGCTGGGAAAAAAAAAAAGTTATGTTTTTATTTTAAGCACACAAACTTTTCTTTAAAACTCTTACCTATTTGTTTCCTGTACTGGTCAACAGGAGTCCTTGATGTGGAGGCATCTTTTCTACCCATTGTTTTCAATCCAAAAATCACTGTCAGTATCAAAAAAAAAAAAAAAAAAAAAAAAAAAAAAAAACCAAACCAAAAGAAAAACCACAACATTATTCCTAAATAAATTACTAACAAAATCAATTGCTTATAACATCAGAAAAATGGTAACAAGCAACATTTACATGATTACACACAAAGACATAAGCCTTCCCAGAGTACAATGAGACACTGGAGTTAATCATCACTATTCTGAAGACTATTAGATACATTCTAAACATACCTTTTTCTCCATTGCATGGGTTATTAACATTACAGAATGCCTGTTAGTTTGAATGAAAATAAAGAAAAAAGAAAGGATTTAAACTGATTGCACTGTAATTCAGCATTTGGTACCACTGTAATTCAGCATTTGGTACCACCAATTATATTCCTATATAATTTATTTCTTTAATAAACCAGGGAATGAATGTAGTATTGTGAGCTGTTTCCATTATTGAAAATACATTTACACCACACTTAGGAGTAAGAGGCAGGATAGGCTGTGTGCATCCACAGGTGAAATTGCTCAGGAAAACCACCTGCAGACAAGAAGATACCAAAAATACAGCAACCCCACTCTCTCTTATTTTCCTGCCATGGGCTCTAGATATCTGTGAATGAATAGGAAATGGAGAACAAAAGTGAAAGCTGGGGCTGTATGCATTTTACACCTCTCAGGCATGGTATTGATAGTTTAAATTACCTTCATTGCATTTCAGTAACAAGCAGCCAGATTCTTGAATGGGATTCTCATGTTGCACAGCCATGTTGCACACATCCTCACAAGGAGGTGACACTAGGACTGCACAAGGAACTGCATAATCATCCATACAAAGATGTTCCTTCTGGTATACTGGCATTTCCACACCATTCTTGTAACTGAACAAGCATAATCTGAACACTGCTCTAGTAAATTCCTGATGTATCTTTTGCCATGTAAAACCTTATGGTTTTATATTCATCCCTCACAGAGCTGCCTCTCAAATGGCAGATACTACAAACACACTCATTTCACCTCTTTTTCCCTGGTTATGAAATTACTGGCTGTTACAGTCATGCTTATTGCTCAAAACACTGGGATTGAACCATTTTAGCAGGGCTGGAGACATTACTCACCACAGTGATGATAAGCCTGTACAACACAAGAGTCCCAACATAAAAACCCACACTCATGAGAGACATGATGTTTTCAAGAAGTGTCAGATTTACTGTTCAAGCACTGAAGATGCACAGCAGCCAACCCCTGCCTTTTCCCAACTGGCCCTAGTGAGAAGCATGCCAAGGGCAAACTTCGGCTGAATCATCCTGGGTAGCCACAAACCATGTGCAGATTGTGCACATATGGCCATGGAGTTATCTGCAAGAGTTGTACTTTTCTGTTAGGCATAACCAGCTGTGCTACAGCAAGACAAGAGTCCCTGGTTGCTGCCAAGGCACACTTTCTGGGAAGTGCAACCCTGGAAGGCACTGAGATGCCAAATCACAGCCCAAAAAGCATGCCATGGCACTGCTGAACACTACTGCCAGCATCCCAAATTTATTTTCTCCATAGCCTCACACATGATTTAAAATATAGCCACAGAAATGATGCCCACTAGTTATTTGTGCATTTTAACACCACAAAGTTTATTATTTTATTTTTATCTGTTCATCTATAATGCTTCACAGGATTGGGATGTATTTCATAACATTCACATCATAATAATTAGAATGGAAAAATAAAAGTACAATTTGAACTTTCAGCTAACTGAGGAGGCAACAGATACATTTTTACGCTGCAAAACTAGATCTTGGCTTTTTTATGCCACTGCTAAGAGACTGTTTTGACTTGCCTTTTGCAATTTCCATAGTATACTAATGGTTTATAACAAAACATCAGCTGTGAAAGATGTTTGCAGTTTTAGCAATGCCAATACAACAGAAGAAGAAAACACAGGCAAAGATTATTTCCTGACTTAAAATAAGCCACAGAGATACTGGCGTTTGCCTGTGTGGCTCAGTGTCACCAACTCTGGCATCTAGAACCTTGAGTCCTCTTTGTTCTTCAAAGGGATGCAATCATCATCATTCATTCCCCACTGCTTTGATGGTTACATAGCAAATGCCTGAGAAACCCATGGAGACATTGGCACACAGAGCCCAGTGTCTAATAAGACAGCTATTTGCATAGAAGATCAGCCACAATTTAGAATGTGTTGTGATAGATGTGGAAAGGGAATAACAGATCTATACTAGCATGTTTGAAACTGAGATTGTTTTCACAATTTAATTCCTTGGGGACTATGGCTCATCACCTTCTCTTGTAAAGAATCCCACATTCTTGGGCAACTTGCCATGAGGTAGATTTAAACTAAAATATGGATTAATAAGAGGTAATATTTATTATTTATGAACCTTGCTGTAGGAGTGGTTTTCAAAGCAACTTTCTAACCATTTTTTGATTTTAAAAAAGCCTGAAACCTTTGCTGAGTTACAAAACTAATCTTCCTCATTTAAAATAGGAGTGGTCATCCTACAATAATTGGTCATCTTTACTGTAAAAGAAATTTACACTCAGGTCTCTGACCCTTTTGCTGCTTCTGACAGCAGCAAATGGAGGATCTTCTGGAGATTCCTCCTGTATTTCTTTGCCAAACCAAAGGGGTAGGCAGCGCACCATGCTGCATCATGCATCCCAAGCCTCAAATCCCTAAAGTTTTAATGACCACACAACCATTTAAAAAACCATGTAAAGGAGCTTATCACTGCTTTTACTGAAAATAGTTGACAAGTAATTTCAGATAATATGAAAGCAATGTGAGCTGTCCTCAACTTTCAAGCTTTTATAAAAGATGGTCTTAAGAAAACAAAGTGAGGCCCCAGTGATTTTTTGTTTACTTCTGCTTCAGAGATGCTACAAGATTAAAAGACATCTTTGTTTTTGTGGTACCCTTCACAATTTTTCACCCCCTTCGGCTTTCCCTCTAGTAATTCACCTTTGAAAATTACCCATTCTGAAAAACTGAAAACTCTTCTTTTACTCTTAAGCAGTGACTGATAAATTGCTTGTTATAACCTCTAACTGTCAATAGCATTTGGTGAGATAAAAACCAGTCCTAAACATCCACTCAAGGTCTGGCTACACTTTAAATCACAATTCACTGTTCTTGATGTATACATAGCATTTTCTGCACCAGTTTAAAAAAATTGAAGAAATTACATTAATTAAATAGAAACTTACTATAAATTACTTTAGATATACTAATAAAAAATAAGAATAGGATCTATATATAGAGAGATTGCACTTTGTACATTATTGGTGCAATACAAATGATTAATAACAATGATAAGCCTTAAAATGTATATCAGTGCACACTCACAAGACATGCATATCTGCATGTGTATAAACTTTCCCAGCATGGTATCTGACAGCATGCCTGCATTCTCCCACTAGGTTGCCTAAATATTAACAGTGGGCACATTAAAGAAATAATCAATGAAATTACTGGTTTTGTAGCTGAGATATAGTTAGTCAGCTGAGAGAAAAGAAATATAACTTCAGGACAGGAAAGAACCACTACAGAATGTAAAGCTACTGAACCAAGTCTTTGGCATCTGTATATATGCAGAAGTTCCTCATCTTTAATTGCAAATAGATATCCACCTTAAACATAATTCTTTTTTTATTTGTTTTGTTGGATGTAATGCAGGTTGATCATCTGAACTCATAAACTGATTCATTTAAAACATGATTCAAAGATGCCATGAAAACTTACTGATATCATTGAAGGAACTGGTCTTCTCCAAGTTAACTCCATAGCTGATAGTTTAATAACTGATGGACAGTAAAATATTTGCAAGTTACATGAAAGCAAAAATAGCCTTTTATCTACCTCAGGTAAAATTCAAGGAGCACATCAGATCATCTGGAAACATCAAGTTATCTCAAAGAACTGGTAGCACTACATTTAAAGTGGGAAGCCATCTGCACATAGGTATTTTGGAAATTGTTGCTGCTGGTTATTATAACTGGCTTTTTTGTTATTGTACTGCTAAAGTACAGTAACTAAGGTCTGTCTACACAGCAGTGGAAGCAGCCTAGAGCTGCTAAAATAATGTAGATTAATCATTTAACCATACTGTAGCCAAGAAAAAGAATTTAAAAATCTTTACTACTATTACTACCTTAAAAAACAAAACTTCTACAAACAAAATACATTCGTGTTCTCTTGGTAAGCCTTACAGTAGTGCTCCATTCCTCTGGAAAGTCTCTCTCAAAGAATGAGACTATTATTTCCAAGGAAAGAGTCCCCTGCCCATGCTGCTTCTTGCAGAATCTATCTCTGCTTCATCTGGGGATTTATTTATTCTTCTGTTAATAAAAGAAATGCAATACTTTTTTTACTTAATTTAACCTTGAAAGCAGCAGAGGTGATTTAAATTTAATTAAATTTAGGAAAATTAATCAAAAACACAGGATCCATAACTCCAGTCAGAACAGATATTAAAATAATTTCAACATTCTACACAAGGAGAAGAAACACTGTATCACGTCCCAAGATTCAAACCATAATAGGAACTACAACTTTTACTCAGACATATATGAGGCTGTTTCATAGCTTCATGTAAACACTAGGAACAAAACACACATTGTTACTTCCAATTAGTACCCTCTGCACTACAGGGAAAGGAGATGCTCTGTTGTTTTTTAGCTATACAATACCTACAAACTGCATGAAATAAGCTCTGCATTTATTTAACAAAAGTAATAAACAGGTAATAGTTCATAGGAATTTTGAGCATATCCTCATGAATATTTCCAAATCCTAAAGCAATATATTCTGAAAAACTAATTTAATCAACAACCCAGATTAGTCCCTAAATTTCAGGAACATAAATCAGACACACAAGCTACACAGGAGATCATCTCCACTCCCTTTGCAATGGGCAAAGAAAGAAATGCAATAGTTAGGAGTCCAAATCACCTCTGGCAATCTTGCTTTCTTGTTATGTTCCTAATTCT